TAATATATTAGAGTATATTACAATTTTGATAATTTATAGTTTTTGTAATTTTTTTATTTTTATTCAAGTAAATAAATAGTTATGTTTATATTTGTAATTTCGGTCCAACTTATTTTCTTTTTAGTCTTTTTTTCTTTAGTGCTATTATATTTATATTACGAAAAAATGAAAATTAAAAAAAAATTAGCTTGTTTATTGAGAATTAGTGTTTCAATGTGTTATATAATTTGTAAATTAAATCATATTTCTATATGTGATATCAGTAGTTTAAATTCAAGATAATATTTTTCAATTTGATAATAGACTAAAAGAAAGAACAAAAAATATAATAATAGCCGGTCTCCATAAAAAAAACTTGTTATAGTAATTTAAATTGAATTCAAGTTCGTTTACTTGAATCAAAATAAATAAAAACATTAGAAAAACCATAAATAAGTAAAATAGAAAAAAAATAGAAAACAAAAGGTAAAAAGGTAAAAAAAAAAACAAATTGTTGAAAAGTAAAGTTAAAAAATAAAAATAAATAAAGTATATAAAAAAGAAATAAAAAATGTATATATATTTATAAAAAAAACCAAAAATAAATAAAGTTTACAAAAAACGAAAAATAAACTTAAAAAACCATGTGGTGTAATATATAAAAAATGTATATATATTTAGGACTGATTTTGCCAAAAAATTAACCAAGTTAACCATGAAACTTGTTAAGTGGGCTAGAGTGATAATTCTGCAAGAAAATTGTGGCCAAAACAATAATAAAAAAAAATATTAGGGCTTTTTCCAATTATGCATTAAAAATTTAGGGCTTTTATAATATTAGTCCTAGATTGTACAGTTTAAACATGAAGTTAAATCATTCCAAAACCATTCCAAACAAAGATATTTGAATTGTAGACATGAACAAACCCATTCCAAAGCATGAAGCTAAACCATTCCAAACAAAAAAAAACATTTGGATTGTAGACACGAACAAAATTATTTCAAAACATGAAGCTAAACCATTCCAAAAACAATGCACACAACACCCATACAAATCAATCTCTTTTACCCCTTCCAAAAATTTTCCAAGCAACAACTCAAGGCAATTCACGAAAAATGGCAATGTACTTTAAAATTCAGTTCTCTTCGGTTTTGGAACTGAAAATACGGTACCGATACCGCCACCATACCTTCCTATTTGATTTGACTAATTTACACACTTTAATTTATTTTCTTGACATTTCACAATAAATCCTTCAAGCCAATTCCTGTATATTTCTAAGGTTTGTAACACATGAAATCGTTTTCTGGACGTGGATGTTGCTCTTTCTCACACATACTTTATCTTTTTTTTTTCTCTTTGTTTAGTGATTGCATTAATTCTTTCCTAATCGTCTTTTCTCCGATTATCATTGTGTTGAAAAAGGTTGCAACATCTTACTATTGAGAATATGCAATTTGCAATGATTGGAGTCAAAGAAGATGGCGATGCAATTACAAAAGTTTGTATTAATTTTTAAATAACCTGATTTGTAAATGATTTATTTTGGGAGTGCAAGTTTAACATGCAAATTAACGTTTAGAATACAAGTTTTTGGAGTAAAAACTTGGGATATATACACTAAAGTCCCAATATTTTCATCGAGTTGACAAGAAAGTCCTAAACTTTATTTTTTTGACAGTGAAGTCCAAATTACCGGTAGTTTTTGACACTTTTACCTTTTTTTTCCAGTTAGCCGGTAATTAGGTTTTTTTTGTCAAAAAAATAAAATTTAGGATTTTCTTGTCAAATCGTCAATTAGGACTTTACTGTCAAAAAAATAAAGTTTAGGACTTTTTTGTCAAATCGTTGAAAATATTGGGACTTTAGTGTATATATCATTTTTTTTGTTAGAAATTTAATGGTATGATACTCTTTAAGCATAAGAGTTAGTGAAACCTTCTCTAATCAGCTATATCATATTGAAATCCTTAACGTTTGCTTCTTGTTAAATCGTTTTTTAATCTCAACAAACCGACATTGAAAAAATGGAGATAATTAATAAAGAAAGAAAGAACCAGGGTTGTGTTGGCTTTTTGCATTCCCAAAAATGGAGAAATAAGAAACCGAAAAAAACGAAATTGCCCTTCTTTCCCTTCTCCATTTTTTTAAATGTCAGTTTGTTGAGATTAAAAAAACGATTTAACAAGAAGCAAACGTTAAAGATTTCAATAGGATCTAGCTGATTAGAGAATGTTTCAATAACTCTTATGCTTAAAGAGTATCATACCATTAAACTTCTAACCAAAAAAATGATATATACACTAAAGTCCCAATATTTTCAACAATTTGACAAGAAAGTCCTAAACTTTATTTTTTTGACAGTAAAGTCCCAATTGACGATTTGACAAGAAAGTCCTAAACTTTATTTTTTTGACAAAAAAGTCCTAATTACCGGCTAACCGGGAAAAAATGGTAAAAGTGTCAAAAACTGCCAGTAATTTGGACTTTACTGTCAAAAAAATAAAGCTTAGGACTTTCTTGTCAACTCGATGAAAATATTGGGACTTTAGTGTATATATCCCTAAAAGCTTAACATGCAAAAGATTTATGTTTAAATTGTATTTTGAATAGATTAATGATTAATTTGGATTTTTATGATTTTCTATATATATTTTTACTTATTCAGCAAGTTGGTTCATATATGATATGTTTTATATTTTATAAAACATGAACATATCACTCAAGTAAAATAGTTCGGAAGGGTAAAATGATCATTTTTATCATTCAATTCGGTCATTCGTATATCTAATGAAACATCTTGTTTTATTTCATATGCAGATTTATTGAGAACTTCTACACCATTCATGCATTTAGAAATCAGTTTGATCCTACGAAACAACCCTAAAGAGTATCATTGTGTACAACAATTTGTCAACTTGAGATTGATCGATGATCAGTTTGAGTTAGAGATCCACATTGGCTACCCCAGACCGATACCAAACAGTCACAAGTCGGTCTTTTTCAGTCTAATCCTTTTCGGATTGGTTTTGATCTTTTTTCGTATGGCCATGAATGCGTCTTTTTTGGTTTGGTATCAGGGTTTTATCGGTTCCGTTTTTGTATTTCAAGTGTTTTGGTTTTGGCTTCGAGTTTTTTCTTTAATAAATATGTGATTAACACCAAAATGATGGATTAATATTTGTGATTAACACCATAGGAGCATGGTCATAGGAGCATGTGATTATCCTTTTAGTGTTTTATCCCATTAAAAAAATACGTAATTAACATACAAGTTATATGTATGTAAATTTTTAAAACAGACCGTTTTTTTTTTTTTTTTTTGACCGATTTCGCGGTCCAAACAATATCGGACCGATTGGGGCTTTTTTGATCCTGTCTTATTTTAGAACTGATTCGGTTGAGGCGATTTCGTCGTCGGATTAGGGATAAGCAACACCAAAATTACTCGCAGCGATTGCTATCATTATGGAAACAACGGTTATCTTGGAGCTCTAATTCAGTATTTATACCCATTGGTTCCTAAATTTATTAACTCAACTGATTCTGCTACCGAAACCATTCACAGCCGTCAATCAGGTAAATTTTTTTTGTCGAAAATTTGTACTTCAGTTTCATTATTAAATTTTTGCTTGGTTGATTGGTTGATTACTTGATTCTCTACGGTTTTATTGTTTATATCTATGCGATTTAGTGCTCGTTCATTAGTCTTACTTACGTAACGATTTTTCTGTTTTTGTAAGTCAAAGTTTTCATGTTTATTGATTTCTGAATTTTTTGGTTTCCGAATCTTATTCTATGCATTTTATCTCACGCTTGTTTATTAATTGATCATTTAGTTGGTATTTGATTGACATGTCGGTTATTGGTTTCTTTATTTCTGTTTCTGAGTGTTATTTAATTCCTTTTTTTTTTTTTTTTTTTTTTTTTTTTTGAGTTGCTGCGGATAAAAGTATTTCGTATAGTTTTTCTGGTTCAGATGCTCCTGCTCATTCAATTCTTTATAGCTTTTCTGCTTTTGTAATTGAGTAATTGACTTAGCCAATTGTATATAAGGAATGTAAGTTTTTCAAGTCTTGTAATTGAGTAATTGTCTTCATAATTCTTATATCTTATGTGGAATTCGCATTTACCAAGATCCTGAATAGTTATTTTTCTTTAGTAAGTGTAGGAATGGCTAGAAACCAGAATCATGATGATGATGATGCATCAACATCTAGCAGGAAGAAGAGGATTAAGACTCGTGACAACAGTGGTGTGGGGCCTTGGTCAGAACTTAACCATGATGTGTTGTTTTTAGTTATGATGCAACTGAGTTTCGTTGATTTTGTTGCATTTAGTGGAGTTTGCAAGTCATGGAGGTCATTTGCACTCAGGAAGAGGTTTATGGCATCCAGACCACCCATGTTGATGTCCATCTCTGATCCTTCTTATATGAATTCATACTACTGCCACCTGAAGGACTTTGATGGAAGAAAGTTCAAAACCCTCCTTCCCCATTCTGTTGGCAGGAGGTGTGTAGGATTAACTTGTGGTTACTTGATCTTGATAAGTTGGATAACCGACGACTACTGGCTTGTGAATCCTATCACGAGGCATGAACTACATTTCCCTGCTATCCCCATTTTACAAAATCTTGTTCTATTTAAGTGTATCCTTGTCTTTTCAAATATAATAAATAGGTGCGTGTTTGTAGTTATAGATAGACTCTACTTCAATATATGGTTTTCAGTAGAGGGTAAAGGAGCATGGAATCATGTCTCCTCCACTTACTCCATCCTTGATTTACACGCTTTCAAGGGGAAGATATATGCCCGAAGCAACACTTGGCGTGTGTATGAAATGAAACTCAATCCAAAGCCCAAATTGACATTACTCAAAATCAAGAATTTTCCAAAGTCAAAATCAGCGAATCCGGTGTTTGTAAGTTCAGATGAGAACCTTTATGTGATGGATCACGGTTTAAAAGAACCGATTGAGGAACTAGATTTTGGCGAAATGAAATGGGTATCACCAAAAGAAAAGACAATAGGAGAATATTCATTTTTTTGTAGTGATTGGAAGTATGGTGTTGTATTTAACCCAGAGTTGTGGATTGGCCCTCGGTCACAGTTAAAGAGATATGATTGTTTCTGTCGTCACACTACTACTGATCAGAAATGTCCAAAAGGCAGCTTCTTTTCTACAAGGATGTGGTACTTCCCCCATAGTTGTTTGAATGTTGATATCATAGATGGGTGACTGATATACTTGTTACCACTCTTTAGTCTTTATCTTTGTTTTTATTTTTTGCATGTGTTGACTATTTCTAAGACATTGCATCTTTCGAGTTATTATTTGAAATTTAAGATGTATATACTACTATAAACAAGAGAAGGATTTTAATTTTATTTAGCAAACAAATTTACAATCTCAAATTTTGGCTGTACAACTAATTCTATTGTTGCAAATTGCACTCATGTAGTGGTATTGAACAATATGCAAAAAGATTTCTTGATGAAATTTCAAAAGTATTTTTAAGGCAAACAACACTACTGTAACCTTCTTATGGTATGCGTGTAAGATTATGTTTTGGCTTGTCATATAAGGTTACGCAACATGAAATTAGTTGTTCATAATTTGTTTCTGGTGAAGAACGAACATTCAAAATGTACAAAATAATCTCCAAGCTTTGAATTTAACAAAAAGTTAGGTAAAAATTCTTTAGGATACAACATTAAGCCATTATATAGTGAGAAGCAACATACAAGCAAGCAGTGACAGCAGATAGGATGAAAGTATCCTTTGATTATTTTTCGTTCTAATATATATTGTAAACGATTTAAACAAACATTTGATTAATTTTAAATTGGTGAAACATTGAAAGTAAAAGAAGATACAAATTAGGCGATTACTCCTCGAACTATGGGGAATCTGTCCTTAGTTGTTTGTAGAGATGCACATTGGAGGTCCTGGACCGGGATTGGGTTGGTTTCGAAATGGTTAGATCTTTTTGGGACCGGTCTCGAAACAATCATGTCTTTTTTCGGACCGGTACCGGACGGTCTTGAGCCTGGGTTTTTTCCGGTTCGGTCTAGTCTTGCGGTCTTTGCGTCTACATTTTTCGGTTGGGTTTTGGTATTTTTCAGTTTTTCTTGTTACGGTTTCGAGTTTTTTCGTAAATAAATGTTTGATTAACAACAGAATGATACATTAAGGTGGTGTTTGTTTTTTTGGCGAAAAGTCTTTTTGACTTGTTATGTTTGCGGGCAGAAAGACTGTTTGTTTTTAGAAAAACATTTGAATTATAGACATGAACAAACCCATTCGAAGGCATGAAATTAAACCATTCCAAACAAAAAAAACATTTGGATTGTAGACACGAACAAAACTATTTCAAAACATTGTTGTAAATAATTGAAAAAACACGAAGAAACAAGAATTATACTTATTATAGCAAAGAAACTATCTCAAAACTTTGCTACAATCAACTCTCTGTAACTCTCTTGATATGATCGTACTTGATCATATGCATCTATATATAGCTAACAATTAGAATTCTACTTGATTACAAACTACCATAAATAAAATTCGCTTGTTCCCAAAGCAACCGATTTGCTTGAAATCTAAGCATCTTCTTAGAATTCCTTATTGCCCAATGAACGATCCTCTTCCTGATGGATTTGATGAGGCAGAAAATAACATAACTCTTAAGTTCACATGCAATCTAATTGGATCTATGTTTTCTCTATTGATAACAATTGTCACACCCCCGAACCAGACGACGGAAACGTCCGAGGGCTCGTGTGACTTAAATTGAAATATCATCACAATGCATATACATGAAACATAACACAATCATCACCAACATTACATAGTACAAGCAT